ATAAATCCAACAAAAGGAACTTTAAACGAGAAACCTATAAATGAACTTCTTTTGAAAGCAGATGTTGACAACAAAGCTGACAAAGAATATGTAGACGATGCAATAGCAAAAGAAGAAGAAAGAGCTAACAATGCTTATGCAACAAAGAACATACTCATCCTGAACTAGCAGACAAAAACATATGTGACAATAAAATGTCAAGTGAAGTGACAAGAGCTGAAAACGAATATTCTAAAAAGACTCATATACATTCTATATCTGATATTACAAACTTACAAGAAACCTTAAACAGGAAAAGTGCCGTTGACATACACATACCATTGCAAATATTACAAACTTACAAGAAACCTTAAACAGGAAAAGTGACGTTGGACATACACATACCATTGGCAAATATTACAAACTTACAAGAAACCTTAAACAGGAAAAGTTGACGTTGGACATACACATACCATTGCAAATATTACAAACTTACAAGAAACCTTAAACAGGAAAAGTGCCGTTTGGACATACACATACAAGTTTTACAACTTTTACAGCAGATGATATTACACTAAACACAACCTTGCCAAGTAAAGGTCCAACAATACCACCGGCAACAAGTCTTGTAGATACTTTGATGTCTAATGACAATAGTATTATACATCTAAGACAGGAACTCAATGTGCTTAAACAAATTTTGCCGAATCTTATTTACCCGGTTGGCTCATTATATGTTTCAATGAACTCTACCAGACCAGAAACAGTACTTGGTTTTGGAACTTGGACTCAAATAGTCGACAGGTTTTTGTATTGTGCAAACTCTTCAAAGGAAACAGGTGGAAGTAAAACGATTTCAGGTGAAAACTTACCTGCACACAGTCACTACATAGATTTAAGTACATCTCGAGAAGGTTGGCATAAGCATAGATATTGGGAATGGTCAGGAATGACAAAAGGTAAAGGATATGATGTTAAAGACGACGTTCAGTTTTGCTATAAATTGTTACTGGAGTGACACTCAGGGGAGGAGGAGACCATTCACATTTCGTTTCAGGATATACACAAACAACGGACAAAGTAAAGACTACATGCCACCTTACATGACAGTTTACGCATGTATAGAAATGCTTAGTCGTCATTTTCAACTTCTTTAGATATTCGTCAGGAGTTGTCTTATATTTGTTAGGAACTGTCTTTGAAAGTATACCACCTTGAACTTTGACAAGTTTGAAACGAGGTCTGACAATAGTAGTTTTATCTTCTGCTATGCAGTGTGTACATTTTGCCATGTTTGCCTAAAAACTTCATAATATTCTCTTGTATACTTTCTTCTATTTTTACGAACACGAATGTGAGTACCTGTCGGGTTCCCATTGTTGTCATAGTCAATAGTATTTTTCATATGGGTCGCGTTTAGGTATTTCTATTTTTACTTTGTCACCTTTCTGAAGTTTGAAGCCCGGCATTCTTTCTTGTTTGTCTCTTTTGACTAAATTATTAAATATATAGTCTTTCTCTAAGTCAGGGTTGTTTTTCATTTCTTCGGGGGAGTGGTTTCCCAAACCTTTTTGTTTACGGTTATTGTAAATATTTAAAACTTGTCTCATCTTTGCCATGGAGAAGTGTCTATATTTGTCGTCATATGACATTTCATTTGCTTCACCACCTTGTGGTTGGTTTAAGTCTCTTAACATTTTTATACAACCGTCAATGACACCAAGAGCAGAATGGTTTGGTCGACAATGAAATATTGGTTTACATTTTTTGAACGCAGATAGTTTTTAATATCGTCTGATTTTGAAAGAACTTTCACAGTCAGATGTCAGTTTTGTTGGATGGTATTTGTCAACGAATATTGTCAAAGCAGTTTTCACATCTAAATATTTTTGGACCATAATGGTATGGCTTCACAGTATCTTGTGTTTTGACCGACAAATATTAGCCAGTATGGTGGTCCATCTGTTCTAACTCTCGGAATGTTTTCCAAGATATCCATAAACCAAGCATTTGGTGTTGAACTAAAGATTTTTATCATGAGTGCTTTTTTGTTGCCTTAGAAACATAGGGGTCCTTGTTTGGATTCGTCATTTTTTAACCCATAAGAAATGGGTTTATTTGGCGCATTAGCAGGAGTCGCATCTAGATTTTTACCCGCAGTGGGAACAATAGCCAGAGGTGTATTTGGAGTTGGAAGGAAGAGTTTTGAGTACATTAGGTATACTGAAAGAGAAAGCACAACCTATTATACAAACTGTACAGAAAGGTTGGGATGTAGCACGAGATGCAACAAATCTTATTCCAAATCCTGAAACAAGAGGAAAAGTTCAAGGATGGATGGACAATGTAGGAAGACAAGCAGGAAACTATTATAACAAAGCAAATGACTACTATAACCAAGCAGGACACTATATGGACCAAGGTGAAAGATTCTTTAACAGAGGATATAACCATGCACAACAATGGGTAAACAATAACCAACCTCAACCGCCTCAAACGTGGGGAATGTAAATTTTTTTACTGAGATGAAATGAACAATACAGCATTGAGACAAATGGGTTCAAGATGGATTTGTCGGCTTCCAGCAGTTACACAACGTGTTTGTCAAGTTCTTCCTATACCTCAGGAAGTTTTAGACCGACTTAAAAAACCTAAACAACCAGTTGAAAACAAACCAAACTAAAATTTTTTACTGAGATGAAATGACCGAAGAAGTTGAAACGGTAGATTTGACACCACAAACAAAAAGTTCAGAACCATTGTCAAAACCTGTCAAAGAACTTACAGATGAGAGAAAAATTCAATAATAGAAAGTGCCAGGTCTGGAAATACAAACTCTAACTACAAAGTCACTTTTCATAAAAATGGAACGGCAAGTATCTCAAAAAAGAAACAGACTCTCACAAATAAAATATTGAAGTCTGAAGGAGCTTTCGAGACAACAGATGGAAAAGTTTACTTCACTGACCAACAGTTCATTATAGAACATCTCATTGACTTAGAGTCGAAATATTCTAAACTTTACAACAAACACAAAAAGTTGAAAGGAAAACAAAAAACAAATGGCATATGATATTTATGAAGATGTTGACGACACAACTGTTCCTGCAAGTGAAGTAAAGTCAGAGGAACCGAAAAGTGACGAAAAACCGATAGAAGAAGAGAAACCAAAAACTGAAGATAAACCAAAACCAAAGTTTAGTTTCCAAACTAAACCAAGTCAACCTTCATTAGCTGGTATGGGTTGGCGTCAAAGACTTATGGCAGCAGGCGGTTATGTTAAGTAAAGAGAAAAAAAATATTTTTTTATTTTTATAAAAATGCCCCCATATAGAATGGATAGAAAATCTGCTAGAATAAAAGCAGAGTTGCAAAGATATGGTTGGAGAGTTTCGAAGAAGTTTAAATATAGGAAGGGAAGACCCATAAAAGTCTATGACAAATTGTCTGGTCTTCGCTACGAAATGGATTTGGAAACAGCACGTGCAAATTATCCAAACAGACTAGAGAGGTTAGAAGAAGAACGTCTTATGGACATGCCTTTCGATGTTAGTGAACCTCAAGTTGAAGGACACGACGGCTTTGCCAGATTCTACTGGAAACATGACGAACAATTGCATCCTTTGAGAAGGAAAAAAGGTAGTGCAGAGGATGGTCATGCTCCCATGGAAAGAACAAGATATGCATATGAGAAGTACCGTGAAGTTAGAAGTCAAATTACTTCTGGTCGAACCTTTACAGTAAACTTTGACGAAGGAAAAGAACAAAGAAGGCTTCATGGGTGTACTTGCTGCCATACAAGACGGAAATAAGAAAGGACACAATCTCAGATTGACCATAACAGATTTGGATGGTCACATTTACTATGGCATATGGCAATGTCACAACAGCTGCAATGCTTCTTGACGCTTTCAAGACTACAAAGAGAGAACAAATGGTTGACTCCGACTCAGACATTTTGAATGCAATTGAAGGAATTGCAAGTGTCAAGTTCGAATGGTACCAACCTAACCCTCAAGCAGTCAGACAACATGCTGGATTACTTCCCCTTCAGAAATAAGTCTGACATTGACTTGACAAGGTATGGAATTTACAATTCAATTGAAACAATTGTCAATGAACCTTGCATTCTTACATGTCTCAGGAACTCTGGTCTTGTTACAGATGAGAAAATGAAGTATCTTGAGTCATGTGTGAAGACAAGGTACATTCTCAGAGGTCAATTGGCAAAAATTGCACCGTTGGCAAATGTCAATATCCGAGTCAACATACCTACAGCTAAAGGTTCTTCACATGACGACTATGTTGTTGACTTCAAATTGCCATGGTTGAAGATTGTAATTGTCCACAACCACTTCATGTTGAACGAAAGTCTTACAAACCCATTGTTCGGAAAAGGCAAGTGCAACATTGTCAGAGCTGTAAACATTCTTTTCGAGAGAAAGGTTTGTTGGAACCAATTCCAGATGACAAGCTGACAGAAACTTTTGTACCAAAAGACGAAACAAACTTTTCATTGTTAGCAAGACCAAAAGTTGTTCCAGACAAAGTTCTAGTACAAAAGAAGTACACAATTCCACAAGGAGTTGGATTGTTCGGATACCAACCTGAACCAGAAGAACTTCCAATGAGGTTGCAAGAACTTCAAGATGCTATAAACAAACTTCCATTGAGACATCCAATTGACGTCAAATTGTATTGGAGAGCATCTGAGTTAGGTCAGAAGGTTTTATATGAAACAGGTTGCTTCGACGATGTTTATGAGATAACAGGAGAAGTTTCTCAGAAGATAAGAGACTCACTTGAATTTCCACAAACTGGACCAATTGGTTGCGACAAGTTCGACTCAGATGAAAAAAATATACTATGTCGACCTTAACGCTGCATACATGAGGTTTGTCCAATATATTCCGACTGGAATTCCAAACGAAGATGGTGAGTTCCCGGGAAGGAACTATACAGTTGGAAAAGTCATACAACAACTGTATGATATTAGGAAAGCTTCAAACCCCAAACTTGCAATGACACTCAAATTGCTTATGAATTCGACATGGGGATATTCCATTAAGAAACCTCAAGAGATGAAGAGTAAACATTATGAGAAGGTCGACAACTTTGTTGAAAGGTTTTCTCCTTTTGTTTTGAAGTACGAATTCACTCAAGGTCAAAGTGGCTTAGTAACCACATTAAAACCTATTGTCGAACATTGGTCTTACCCTCAGTTCGCAAAGGCAGTCCTTGACAACTACAACAAATTCTTCTCCGAAGTCAAATCCAAAGTGAAGGTTTACTATGAGAACATTGACGCACTCATGACGAACGAAGAAGGATACAACAAACTCATTGAAATGGGAATGGTCGGTGAAAAGATGGGCTGTTTTAAGCTAGATAAGGTATTTTCCGAAGTTCATGTCCTCTCCAAGCGTAAGTACTGGGGCATACTTGAAGACGGCACAGAAATAAAACATTGCATGAAATAAAAACGTTTTTCAAAAAAGTGACATTTTTAAAATTTTATTTGAACTGTACGCTGAGTTTGTTGGAGAAGACCGTTGGGAAACTTGTTTGTTAGATGAGAAATATGAAATGGCATACCATTTTAAAACAATATATTTTTACATATATTAAATGCTTCAGGTTGAAAAACAAAGAACAAAAGTAGCAGATACAAAACCGTTAGACTATATCTTTACAAATGCTGGTAGGACTATTTCAGATGAAGAAATTTCATCCCGAGCATACAGGTTTGACTATCCAGTTCGTTGGCTTCAAAGTCCTTCAGATGCAAAGGCAATAGGATTTAGAAGAGTTTTGTTTTCAAATAGAACTAACGCGTTTATGTTCGCAGTATATTTTCATGGGCAGTATAAAGGTTCTGATGGTCTAATAGACAAATTTGATGAAATGAGAATCTTTACAGTTCGTTCAGACGAAAGTCTTGAGAAAACTCTAAATGACTTTCAAACTCAAATGAACAAATACTATTGGGAATTTCAAGAAAAATACGACTCTTTACTAAATGGAACATACTATCTGAAACTAGAATATGACAAGATGAACTCCACCGTTTCATTTCAAAAGATTGAAATTAACCCTCCAAGAGATACAGAGTTTTTATTTTGGGGAGTAGACAAACGTTCTTGGGCACAATTTCTTCGGTTACTAAACCAGAACGAACCATTACCACCAGATGGTCCATTTAAATTTATACTTCCACCAGCAGATTTGACAGTTTATAGAAACGTGTTTGACCCTCAAAATGTTATGTGCCATGCAAGTTTCAGTTCAAGCAACAATAGTTTTCTATGTATCGGTAAGGACTTTTATGACTTTGCTTCTAAATTCTACGAACCACCTAGTAACAGTTTCTCTGACTTTCAAGTTTGGTTCACAACAAATGGTGTGCAGCATATTATTCCATTGTACTATGACTTTTATCTCGAATTGTCTTTCATATACAACTACGGAAAAGTGCTGAAAAAGTGAGTTTATGTTAGCATGTTAGATCTCACCTCTTTTCTCACCTAATTTTTCACCCTCTTGAATTTTCATGAATTTCCTTAAGATAGAAAAAAAGTGAGTTAAAATGAGATGTTTACTGAAGGGGTTGGATGCCGCCTTCTGAGGTTATGTAGAACGGCTGACCCGAGAAGTGGAACAGTGCTCTGAGAATTTGGTTCATTCTTGGGAAAGGGTTCTCTCTGTTTGGAAGTAGTATCCTCATCTAATGGCTCGATGTTGTCCATTGTACTTTTTCAGAACAATACTTGCACTGCTTCAGAACAATACTTGCACTGCTTCAGAACAATACTTGCACTGCTTCAGAACAATACTTGTACTTTTTCAGAACAAGACTTGTACTTTTTCAGAACAATACTTGTACTTTTTCAGAACAAATTTCCCATAAAAGCTCTCAATTTGTGAGAAAAATTTTCTGTTTCAGAACAATATTTGTACTGTTTCAGAACAATATTTGTACTGTTTCAGAACAATATTTGTACTGTTTCAGAACAATATTTGTACTGTTTCAGAACAATATTTGTACTGTTTCAGAACAATATTTGTACTGTTTCAAGACAATACTTGCACTGCTTCAGAACAATATTTGTACTGTTTCAAGACAATATTTGCACTGCTTCAGAACAATGTCCGACGTACCACCAAAAAATATATTTTAGGTGAAGTGGTTAGATCTCACCTGTTTTTTCACCCGTTGAATTTTCATGAATTTCCTTAAGATAGAAAAAAGTGAGTTAGTATTTTTAAAAAAATATTTTTTATTTTTATTGTAAGAACATGTTAGCAACAACAGCACCAAACTCTTTAGTCATGAACCCAACTTCAATGTTAGTAGAAATGAAAAGCTTCATTCCTTCTTCATATACTTTCGAAACAGAAATCCAGAAGATAAAGCAGGAACTTCTCCAAGGAGATTTAGATTGCACTGCAAAAGATGAAACAAATGAAGAATATCTTTATGACATGCAGGATATTATTGACCATTTACCTAAACTTCCTGAAATCCAACAACAAAAGCTTACTATTCCAGAATTCGATGAAATAGAAGTGAAACCAACCGACTCGGTAGAAATAAAGAAGTTCATACGTAAGGTTAACTATGAGTTTCTTGGATTTCATTGCAACCACAAAGTCATGGACAAAGACTGCGATATGGTATATTTCATTGACATATATAAATCTGAAGAATTTAAGACCTACGACAACTTTGTTTCGTTAGTTGCAAAATGTGTATGGCAGATAAGAGATAAAGATAAAAGAGGTAAAGTATGGAACGAACAGATAAAACCAGCAACTTTTGAGTTAAAGAAAACCATTGACGCTATAGTTGTACTTGCAGGACAAATTTCAATGTACAATGCTAAAATGAACCCACAATGTTCTAAATGTAAAGCAGCAATGAGGAAATATAACTACTCCGTCAAAGAGATAGAACGTATGCGAAACGACTATGCTGACTTAAAGAAAGAAGCAGAGAAACCAGCAGAAGATAAAATGGACATGTTGACATTTCTGAACAAAAACTATCCAACTGCTGACGATTTCCTTCTATCTGATGTCAAGAAGAAATATAAAGAAACATTCGGCATTGTGAAAACATTCGATGTACTAAAAGAAGAAATAGAAGCTACAAAACTGTTTAGGATTTCAAATATACATCGTACAATTCATGTGAAACGCTTGTGAAAAAGAGGTGAGAAAAGAGGTTAGAAATGAGGTTAGATCTAACCTTCTACCCTAAAATATATTTTTATTGAAAAATGACCAAAAATCATGAGTTTCCTCATATGTTTGCGACCCGAGGAAAACCGCGGGTCGAGATTCCGTACGAAAATCGTAAAAATTTGTCAAATGGTTTGAGAGGCTGGTATGTACATAGACTTCTTGTAAATGCTGTTGCAATGTGGGCTTACTTTACATCGTTCAGAAACCAAACATACAGACATTGGTTCAAAAACCAAAGCACACAAGAACTTTTGAGTGAAATTTCTCTAGACCGACTTTTTTCGGTCTAGCATAAAACTCATGAAAATCGTGAAAAAATGACCAAATTTCATTATATAACTGTTATTTTTTTACGAAGAGAACTTTTGCACTTCGTAAAAAAAATCCCTGAAATCGTGAAAAAATGACCAAATTTCATTATATAACTGTTATTTTTTTACGAAGAGAACTTTTGCACTTCGTAAAAAAAATCCCTGAAATCATATCTTTTATACAAAATAAATGAAAAATTGCGACCCAGACTTTTTCGAGGGTCGCCTAAAACTCATGAAAATCGTAAAAAAATGACCAAATTTCATTATATAACTGTTATTTTTGACGAAGAGAACTTTGACACTTCGTCAAAAAAATCCCTGAAATCATATCTTTTATACAAGATAGAAAAAATAAAGTTAGTTTTTTGTAAAATATTTTTTTTATTTTGTATGTAAAGACAGAAAATGACAAACACTGAGTTTGAAACAGTTAGAAAGATAGACAATGACACCAAAATGGTTAGAATAGGTGATTTAAACGTAAGATACTCAAAGAAATACAACAAATATTCTTTGTCAGACATTATATCTCCATCTGGAAAGAGAGCAATCGACTGGGTTAGAATTGCTTCTACTCAGAAAATTTTGACAAGAAATCCTGAGCTTATGATATCAGTAGCATTTCATGGAACAAGAGCATATCTTATAGACAAAAGTCTTATACCAATAGTTTTGTTATGGTTAGACCCAGTTGTTGGATATAACTTCATAACATATGGTTCATTCGATACGGAACGTTGCAGTGAAGGCTTACTTTACATCGTTCAGAAACCGAAGGACTTCAATACAAAGAGATATAAGATAGGAAGAACATATAATATAACTCTAAGATATGACAGTATAGTCAATAGAGTCAAGGTTGTGTTCGTTAACGATATGAGAGCTGCAGAAACAGAACTGCTTGAAGTTTTTGAGAAAATGTATGGTGCTCCCACGAAAGGTAAAGAAACGTTTGAAGTAGATGAGATAGGTAAAGCTATAAAATTATTTGACGAAGTTGCTGAAAAATACATGTAAAGCGTTTATTTTTGGTCTTTTGTGAAAGTCAGGAAATAACGCTAGTTTTTTATAAAATATTTTTTTTATTTTGTATGTAAAGACAGATATGTCAACAACCGAGAACACAACAACTGCTATCGTTCATGAAGCTATAAATGAAGAATACGAGTGGGTTCAGTATAACAAACAGTTACGTCTCATTCGTTCGGTCAAAGACGATATGTACCAAATGCAAAGTATTTTGACAGCATGTTTTGCTCCAGATACCAAACATACAGACGATTGGTTTGAATTAAATAGCACTCATGAACTCCTCAGTGAGTTTGAACATGTAGAACTTAAAAAGATGTACCAAGACAGACAAAACTTACCATCACATCTAAAAGGTATATATGTTCATAAGTTCCTAGTTAGTTCAATAGCAATGTGGGCTTCACCTCGTTATGCAATCTACATACTTATGCTACTTGACGAACTTTGTACAAAGCAGAGAGAAGATATGATGAAAGAAGACAAAAACATACAGAAAAGAATACCACGTTCGGTACCAAAAGGAAAGGAAAAGAACTATAAGTATATGATTTATACTGAAGAGATGGAAAATGAAGAAGACAGAGATATGGTTATGTTGCATTTAGTCAGAAGAAACAACAAAAGCTTTTACGACCTTGCTAAGATTTACAAATCTGACAGAAATTGGTTCTATCGCGAAAACTTACCGATTTCAATGACACCGAATGAAGATGTGAAACAAATAGTTCAAGATACTTTACCTCAAACACACTATGATATTAAAGGTTGTACAATACTTACCTTCAAAGAAGATTTGCCATTGTTAAAGGAAAAAATAACAGAGTATTTTGACAACTTCAAACAAGTAGAGTAGATGAACCATTTATTTTTCAAGCTTGACTTCAGATGGCTCAGGTAGCTCTATAAGGTCAATTGTCTTGTCAAATCCTTCTGGCATTCCGAGTCCTTCCTTCCGACAGGAAAAAAATTTCCCGACAACTGGAAAAAAATTTCCTTCCGACAGGAAAAATTTTCCTGTTGTTCGTCCGTAAACCATTCAAATTTTCGAAAATTGAGAACTTTTTGGTCGAACTTCAGAAAAAGTTTTTCCTTCCGACAGAAAAAGTTTTTCCTTCCGACAGAAAAAGTTTTTCCTTCCGACAGAAAAAGTTCTTCCTTCCGACAGGACACAAACGAATGTCCGACGTACCACCAACCGAGTCCATTCCAAAGCCAGAAGAACCGAAAGCTGCAGCACCACAACAGACTAAGACTAAACACTTACATTTTTCAAGCTTGACTTTTTACAATTTGAACTTTGTTTGCGTAGATATGAATTCTGAAAGAAGTATGAGGGTCTTGTATGACTTTGTACTTCTCCCATAGTTCATGTCTGTCAAACTTACCTGCCATGGACTCTTTCATAAGTTCCATGAAATCGTCTTCGGACAATCCGGGGAAAAGTATAATATCAGTAAGTATTCTCTTTACATCCTTACTTAAACTCTTGGCTGTCTGTACACAAATGACAACTGAAATGTTAAAGTGTCTGAGCTTCTTAAGAATTCGACACATGTCTTGTTCTCTATTCTTTAACAAAGGATGAGAAGCAAAGTCATCTAAGATAAGAAGACATCTATGAGGGTACGTTTTCCAATCGTAAGATTGCAATTTCTTCGAAATGTATTCTATCTCTTTCTGTTTGTTTCTGAAGTGTTTCTTCTCTAATATTCTCTGCATTTCCTCATTTGGGTCTTTAAACTTCGAATTGACATACTCATTTATAGCATTATACTTCAAAACTCTTCTTTGGTACTTCTTTATCCAATCTAACAACTCAGAGTCTTTTATACATACTAACTTAGACTTCTTTATAATATCTTTGAACGAATTGACGGTTTGGTCAAATTGACCCGAAGTACTACAAATGACAACTAACTCATAGAATGGGTTCTTCTCATCTAGTTCTTGTTGTTGTGCAGCCATTTTAAGATAAGTGAAAGTCTTACCCGACCCAGGTGGTGCAATTAGACCTGTTATACCATTCTGAGCAAATAAGAACTTGTCATGTATAGGCTTTATCTGAGCATTTTCTAACTTCCTCTTGTTCTTGTTTAAAACATTCTCAAATTTCTTGTCAATGTCAGCAAACTTTTTTTCTAACATATTTTTAGAAAAATTAAAATTTTTATCTTTTAGAAAATGTCTAGCGATTTCGCTATCTATATTCGAGACAAGCTTTTCGACAGCAAAACATCTGTAGACCATAAAATCTTACATAGTGTAAACAAGAAAGGTGAATTTGTTCTAAAGTTCTGTTTCTGGGAATATGACAAGAACCATAAAACATTAAGCAGAGAAGTCTTAAAATTTGTCAATGACAGACTTGTTGACAGAGATGACGCCTCTTGGAGAGATGAAGTCCAACAAAACTTCTTAGAATGCAAAGAAGACACATGCACTGTTCTTGAAGATGAAATAGAAAACAGAATAGAAGAGCTATTAAAGGACAAAGAACTTTTACATAAATATGGTTCTGAGAAGTTTGACATAACTCCACCAGAAAAGAAGAAGAGAGAAAAGAAAAGAAAAGAAAGTAGAAGAAGAGAAGAAAGAACCTGAACCAGTTCCAGAGAAGAAGAAATTTGACATGTAAAAATAAAATTTTATTTTTAGAACATTTCTGGGTCAATGTCAATGTTCTCTTCCTCTTTAGGAGTAAACACTGGCTTAGACTCTAAAATCTTTTTACCCAATTTACCTTGAACTTCTACAACTTTAGACTCATAATATTCATAGTCGTCTGCTTTCTTTGGTTCATAAGGTATAACAAGTTTGTATGCTTTGCCTTCTTTAAGGTTTGAAAACCTTCTGTCAAAACTTTCTTTGACTGCTAACAAACCTTCTATGTCTAAGTCTTCAAATTTCGCACCATTTTTAGTCACAATAGCAAACTTAACTGGTTCGATGTTCCAAACTTTGCTGAATGAAGACTTTTCAAAATGGTAGAAGTAAACATTCAAATATGTGAATGGGTCTAGTTCTTCTTTAAGTCCTGACATGTACTTGTTTACTGAGATGAATTTTGCCATCTTTTCTATCGGATAAAAAAAAATATTTTTTTTAAATTTACTCAGAAAAATTTTTCTTTGTATATACACCATTCTGAACATCTAAAAGACTTTTGACATTTGCCAAGAATGTTCGTTTAGACGCTGTCATATAACCATATTCTTGACAATATTGTTTATACGAATCGTACAATGACCTTTCATCTAATGACACAAAGTCAGTTTCATCTATGAACAGTTCATATACACTCTTGTTTGCTTCTAACAATGTTTGTCTCTCTTCGGTATGTGGAATTTGTCTTGGATTGAACTTTGAAATATCTAATGTCATAAAATATGAGAACAAGTGGTTGTAAAAGTCAGATGTCAAAGTTTCTGACAAAGCGTCAAAATATTCTGTATCTTGCATATGAGCTTCTGACGTTCTGACAACTACATATCTTCTGTCAGAACTTTCTAACTTCATCGGAACAGCATTGTTTGAAACCATAACGAAGTTTGCAACATTTTCACAAACTCTTTGGTCTTTATATTTTCTTTCAACAACTCCAACTTTGTCTGTTATAAGACTCTTCAAAGCATCTGAGTTCAAAACTTTTGTTGTATCTATACTTTGAAGTTCGTTACATACTATAAGTTTCATATTCTCTATTGAAGAGTTAAATTTACCGCAGATGTTTTCTAAGTTTGTCATATTAGGGTTCGAATAGCCCTCTAACAGTTTGCATAAGATATCTGTAAAGAATGTGTTCTTACCTGTTCCTTGTTTTCCAATTATAATGAGAGCAGTTTCATTTTTAGCACTTGGATGTTGTAAGATGTTTGCAAACCAACATAAGATATACTCATAGACTCTTTCGTTTCCATTGCATATAATTTCTTTGACATGGTCTAACCAAGCTTCTATAATATTTTCTTTCCATTCTACTTGTTCGTATTTATATCCAGTGAAGATAGAATAGAAGTTTGGAGAAGGTGTATAAAACTTTATACCACGAACTGAAAAATCTTCTAACTTTGACAATAAGATATCCCAAGCATCTAACATCTTCATGCCAACTTGTACGACTTTTATTTTCTTAAGTTTCTGTCTACATTCTTGTTCTGAAACTATTGTTGCTCTTGGTTTGTTAAAGACAACATCCCATTCTTTCATAACATAACATTCTGGGGCAGAGTCGACATAAATGACTAAACGTTTCAAATTCTCGACTGCTTTGTTATAGTCTCGAAATGGACACATATTTCTGAATGTTTGGAAGTCATAAAAATCTGAAACATCTATTCTGTACATTTTTATAAAAATAAAAAAAATATTTTTTTTATTCTTGAGCTATTTGTTGTTGAAGTTGTTCTTGAGCTATTTGTTGTTGAAGTTGTTCTTGTAATACAATACTTTCACCAGTTGCATCTTCCAATTCGAAACTTTCTGCCGTCATTGACAAATACATAGGACATAAAAGTTTTACAGGAACAAAGTTTGCGTCAACTAAGGTTAAGTTTATGTTTGCTAAAGTGTTTGAGTTTACTAAAGCTGAAAACTCTGCATTCGAATGAACAATAGGCAAACCAGCAGAGAATGTGTTATTTATACGCATAAGTATCTTTTGGTCATAGTAGTTTCTGTCGACATTCGAATAACACTTTGAACCTAAGTTTGAAACAATATATAAAATAGGTGTACTTAAAGTCAATGGAACAGACATTCCTTGTATGACACCTTTTCCTGTTATAGGAAACTGTTGGTAGTAAAAACCAGATATAAGTTTTGTATTATAGCTCATATTGTTTATAGTAAACTCAGTCGGACATCCAAACATAATGAAACCTGCTCTAGTTGCAGCACATGTTACACCCGTACTTAAAGTATTAAATAAGTCAACAAAACCTGTTGGTGGTATATCTGAGTAAGTATCTTCAAAGGAGTATTTTTTACCATTCACAACAATAAAATCTTCTGGTGTCAAAAGAGCAAAACAAGCTTTAGTCGTCATTGTGTTTAAGGTTAGTTTACAATATCGTCCTTGAGGACTTTGTAAGTTTGTTGTTATAGAATTATATGACTCAGGGTTTTTAGTCGTAATAGTATAAACCATTGTGTCTTCTGCCATTTACTTAGCAAATAAATTTTAATGAAATGTTGTGGTCGTCAAATATTTTTATAACGTCTGGGAAACTATATTTTAAGTTCAACGTTTCACCTCCTTTCATAACGTATATCTTGTCAATGACATTATATGAAACACCACAGCAACTAACGTCGGGTTCTATTTCTTTGATGTTTATATCGTCTGCCTCTGTCAAAAGTTTCAATAGTTCTTTCAAAACTTCATGAGGTGCAATGACATATGAGTTCACTTTTACAGGGTTGTGTTCGACCAAGTTTAACATTATACCTAAAGCTTGACAAATCTTCTCCTGAGTTTGAAGTTTGTCTTTCAGTTGTTGGTAGTCGTTTCGAATATCTGCAACAGAACTTAAGTCTCTGCTAACTTCAGGGTATGTTGGTTGTTCTTTTACAGGAACTATTGTTATACCATCTTGGTCTTCGTATGGTTTCCCCACTTCAACATCTCTGTCTTTGACATTGACAACAACACTTTGACTGTTTGTTTGAGTTGGTGAATTTAACTTCACATCTGCCACTGCCATTAAACCTTTTGAAACACTTACGCTTCTATTTTTCGGAAATGACATTTTACTTAGAATAAAAAGATGGACGTATTTGAGTATCTCTTCGAATTGAAGCAAAACAAAGTTTACACACACAAACAATACAAATACATTGACAGAATAGTTCTTTATACAAACAATGGAAAATGTTATAGAATAGCAGTCTTTGCTGAACCAAAATATTTTCATAAAGCAAAGAAAGTTGGTATAACTGAAATGGTGAAAGTTCTTGAAGCAGACAAAAATATAACTTCAAAACTTACAGATATTTCTAAAGGTAAGTTTATAATACAATATTATGTCAAAACTGGCGTACTGTCAATATTTGACGGAGAGAAGTCAGTTCAAGAACAACTTACTGACCTGCTGCCAAAATCTGCTCGATGGAAGCTGTCGTTATGCCAATCTGAGGAGCCCCAGCAGGTTTCATCGAACGAATCTTCAAAAGAGCATCTTCCGTGAAAAGTGCTATTGGTTTTGTAAACTTCTTTGCTTTCAATTCATCTGGACCGTCTCTGTCACCAGTATATTGTATTTGAACTGTACCAACAGTTGAAATACCACCCATAAAGTCTTCTGAGTCAGCAAATGGAATGCCAAGCCAAAAGTTTGAACGGTCTCCATTTGTATATTGAGTTTTTTGACCTCCTGTATGAGTCCATACTTTCACATATGGCATAATAGAACTTTGCATTTCAGGGTTAATGGTTGTTGTGAAGTTGTTGTTAAAGTTCATAGCATCTAATGTCAAGTTGTATGACCTCATATCCTCAACTGTAGAATATTCTTCTCTTGGATAATATTTGCCATCTATGTTTATATGATATTTAATACCGGGGTTGTAGAAACAAGAATAGTCATTTATAGTTCGTCTGAAAAGAACAAACATAGTATCTGCATGTTTCATTGCAGTTGTTAAGGCAATATCTGTTCTTGCACCTGGGTCAGCACTTTGGTTTCCAACTTCACCTGCAAAGTCTTTGACAGATATTTGGTGTATAGGGAACATAAGTGGAACTGCAATATATTTGGCAGCTAAAGCATTTGAAATATCTGGGTCCAACATATAGACTGCAAGTCTGCTTTCTATTCTCTTGCATTCAAATTTTTCGCATGTGAACTTAACTGGGTCCCAAGCAGTTCCAGCAGCATTGAAATAATAGTTTACTTCAGTGTTGAGGTTTGAGAAACCAAAGTCTAAGTCAACTTTGTCTTTGCAAAATTCGGCGAATGACGTTTTATTTGTTCCCTCTACGTCTGTAATAGTGAATGGGTCTTGTGTTGGTGCAATGACTAAGTTATTTTTGCTTGGAGTAAGTTCAATAGAAATTTTTCCTGCCCAGTTTGGCAAGTATCTTAAAAACCTGAAGATGAGGAAAGATGACAAAGGAACTCTAAGTTTCAGTTTTACTTTGGTTACTGCTGCTGCAGTTTGTCCAGAAAGGTTAACATAAACTCCTGGAACGTTAGGGTCAAGTCTTCTTATTTTCTCAATAGTTGCATATTGGTCTGTTTGTTCTCTAGCTTGTGGTTGTACTGAGTTTCTCAAAGCGAACCATTCATAGTTTGCCCATGTTACTGTTTGAACTAAGTCAGAGTTAGAATATATCTTATATCCCATGAAAACTTCTGGAGCATATTGGTATCCGACATAGAAAATTCCATTGCAACCTTTCTTGTCAGACAACTTGGCAGAAGGTTTTATTTCAATGTCTTGTTCCACGTATAAGAATGAGTTGTCAATAGAAATTATATGAAACCTGTCGCAAGCAATATCTACTGTTGTTGAAGAACCTTCTCCAAACTCACCTACATTTCCATAAGAAACAGCAGTTGTATATTCGTAAGTTCCAGGAACTATTTCTGACCTTCTAATGGCATTGTCGCATTCGTTATACCATTCGGAAACATTTCCATTCATGGCATCCAAAACTGTTGGCGTTATATTCTGAGCGGCGTACATTTCATATGGGTAAAAATATAGAATAGTTGGATTTATTTGTCATAATTGTTTCGGACCAAGCTTTACTTTCTTCCTGACTGAGTTTTTAACTGAATCTTTAACTCTTCTTTTTCCTTCATTGCCACTACTTTCACTAGATGAAGTTACTTCTTCACTACTTTCACTTTGTTCTACTCTTCTCTTCTTCTTTGGTGTCGCTTTTGGTAACTTGCCCTCTGCTTCAAGTTGTTGCATCTTTGCCTCATGTTCACCTAGTATGTTGTAAATTTCCCATGTCCTTTTTGCCTTTGGGCTCTGGTCGCCCATCTCAGGTAACCTATATCCTAGAAAGATTTTGTCATAGTTTGTATTTGAGTCTTCGCTTATTGTTTGCATGACTCTTTCCTGAGTTTCCGGTTCAAGCTCTTCAAATATAGCTTGTCCATATGGAATAAGCTCGTTTCCAAATATATGTTTTTGTAGCCATTCTGGTTTTCTTTCCATGTAACCAATAATATCTTTTGTGAATGGGAAAGCTTTTACCCAACGTTTCAGGCTTGCGTCATTTATTTCTGTAGTTGGTTTTATTTTGTCAAGGAACATGTTTTTCAATACTAACATTTCATTTGGTACTGTCCATTTGAGTTTTCTTAAATATTCATCCCTTCTCAGTTCATTGTCTGCAAAGTAAGTTTTTATGACATTTTGCAAACTTTCGTTTGCAAGGTCATGTACAATAGGTTCTCTTCCTTCTCTCCCTAACTTTCTTTCTAAACTCTTCACCAAATATACCATCTCTATGGTTCTGTGTAGTTCTTTGAGATAAATGTTCTAGAACGTCAGGTGTTATATTTCCATCAGCCATGTTCATTTCATACTGGTCCAAAATATCTGCATCTTTCATATCTTTCAATGGCATTAAAGCCGCGCTGAAAATACCAGCTATATCTGGTTCACCATTCACTTCCATTGCGTCTACAACTTCTTGGAATTTGAGGTTGTAAGTTTATGAACCACCTATCCGGATT